GTCTATGTGTTTTCCTGAGAAACTATCTTGTAGATAACAATATGTAAAACAACAACCATTGACAATTCCCTACCACTTTGTCTGTAATTCGGTAAGCCCCCCTATTACTATGTTATCCTTCTTTTACTCTTTAAAATTAAAAAAAAAACAAAACTGTTTTGTGGTATAACTGGTCCCCGCCAAAGATACAACTCGACTTGAGAAGGCAGGGTAATTCTAAGTCTGGGCATCCTGACCTGCCTCCCAAACCTCTGGTCAGATTCCTGAGCAGCTGTGAAGCTCTCTGTATTGGATGATTAGAGTTATAGTTGTGATGGATTGGCACTTTTTTCTCCCTAAGGATTGGGCTTAGCTTGGTTTTTGATAAAAAGATGTAGTTGATGCAGGATCTGGTCCCATTATCTGCCACTTCCCACTCAAAACCTTGTCCTTTGTTGTTATTGTGTTGTCTTTTCTCATTAAATAAAATAAAATAAAACCCTTGTCCCTTTTGCTATATATGAATACTATTTGTCCCTGCACATCTAGCCACCTACTGCTCACCTATTTATAACTCCTTGCTGGTTCCCATTTGTTTGTGGTTTTATGGCAGCCTCCAAGGAGAATGTCTTGGCCCAGCGAGGAGAGGAAGCTTTAACCTCCAATTTCCCTGAGGTTGGCCATACAGGCTCTTGTGCTGTTCTAGTACATCTCTCCCCTCCCAGGCTCCTCTCATCCTCTTCCTCTTTGACATCTGACACCCACACCAACTTCTATCAGCCGTTGGCAGCTGCTCTCTAGCTGATTTGGGCCCTGGGGGTGCCCAGGCCTTGGCCAAGATTAAGGGTACAACTGGCAAGGACTCTCCACTGAGCATCTCAGACACATGGCAGATGAAGTAGAGGGCTGGTTCTCTAGTGACTGGAAAATAAGACTCTTCAGCAATGTAGGACTGTGACCTGGAAAGTCATGGGACCTGCCCGTGCAATGGGATTGGTCTGGAAATCAAGTTAAAAGCTCACTCTACACCTTCTTCAAATGGTAAAAGAAACTGTAGAAACTAGCTTTAAATTCAAAACTAAAGTGTGTTGTTAGCATTGTTACTTGTTTAAAATCCCTCTTTCAACATTAGCTTTGGCCAAAGAAGCCATCTGGGACTGGAAACACATTGGATCTCTATTAAAAGAACACAAAACATCACTTCCACACAAAATACAAGTTGTAGAATGCAGACAAAGCCTCAGTCAACATCAAACAACAGTATGTAACAAAAGCACATAAAGGCTGAAATAGAGTTTGGCAGGGTGCTCTTAAAAGACTAACATTATGTGCATGGTATTTAGCCAGCATGTGCTGCTATTGTTTTCTCACTGTGGGAAATATGAAATGATCAAGAGATGGTTTCAGGAACGTAGCGGGAAGAAGTGGTGCCTGGCCATTAGGAAGAATCTTGATGTGCACTCTTTGCACAATAAGCAAATAAATACATGAGCAGCTCTTTTCTGCTCATTATTCTAAATCTTCATTGATAAATCACCATGCCTTACAAGGGTCTATGGATTTTACAATGTGTTAATTTTTTTTTATTTTAAAAATAAGAGGAAAGCATTAACAGACAGACAACATTTTACAAAATAGCAAAAGAACAGTACAGACAATACAGAGTTACAAACAAAGTGGTAGGAAATTAACAATGCTTGTTGTATTGATATCTTCAAAGTTTTTTTTTTTTTTTCTTTTTTTTTTTTTTTTTTTTTTTTGCGGTACCGGGGATTGAACTCATGACCTTGCGCTTGCCAAGCGGGTGCTTATGCCACTGAGCTATATCCCAGCCCACAATGTGTTAATTTTAAATTAATTTTTTTGGGGGGAAACAGGGTCTTGCTATATATTTCAGGCTGGATTTGAACTTACTATGTAGCCCAGTCTGGCCTTGAACTCATAGCAATCCTCCTGCCTCAGCCTCCCTAATGCTGGGATTACAGGTGTGTACCACCATGCATGGCTTTAAATTAATTTGTTTGTGTTGACAGAGGTCCCACAAAAATTTTTTTTCCCCAGAACCTGACTTACGCTACAGGTAACCTCTCATAACCATTGGCTGGCCAATGGTACCATGGGTTTCAGAGATATTAAAATTTGAAAAAAAATTGGATCTTAGAATGGGTGGGATATAATAACTTAGTGGCCTAGAAAAGACAGAAATGTCTTTATTTGTCACTTGAGGAACTCATTCAAGATTGGTTGGAGTTTCTGTTTGATACAGCCATTCAGGGACCATGTTCGTGGCACTGCCTTCCGTCATCCGGCTGAGCATTTTCACTGGCATGGTCAAAGCTAAATCTTTTAGAGCTAAAACCTATGATTTAGACCTAAAATGTCCTCCAAAGGCCATGTGCTAGGGGTTTGGTTGCCCGCCATGTTGGAAAGTGATTGGATCATGACAGCTATAACTTTCTTAGTATATAAATACATTGGTGAATTTATAATTTGACGGCATTATGAGGCGATGGAAACATAGGAGGTGGGGCCTAGTTGAAAGGAGCTGATCATAGTTCTTTTATTTTAGAGAAGTGAGAAGCTTTTCTCCACCATGCCTTTCCACCAGGCCTCACCACAGGCCTAAAAACAACAGAGGCAGCTGACCATAGTGGGAAACCTCTGAAACCATGACAAAATAAAAATTTCCCCCTTTAAATTGATTTTCTCAGGTGTTTTATCACAGTGGAAGAAAACTGACTAAACACTGACCATGTGTTTTTCTTCCCAAGTCTCAAGCCTGGACAGAGTTAGACGGGCCACTGGCAGCCATTTTGCCTCTACAAGAAGACAATGGAGAAAGGCAGAACAGAAGATGATGATAAAAATAAATCCTGGTAATACTATGTGATCAGTATCACAGATCAAGCTCAGCCTGAACCAGCACCCAGCATTGTGCCTCTGGTCTTCTGGACTACATGAGATAACATTTAGCATCCCTCTTTCAAATCATATAAAGGTGGATTTTGTCACTTGGTGCTTACATTTAGCTTGACTTTTTGTGGGGGCATAAAGTACAACTTTCCTTGGGAATGTGTGACCCAGGACTACCTGAGATGTACTTAGCTATCTGATCACTGAATGGAGACTTCTACTTGCCATAGTTTTCAACCACAGATGATTTTGACCTCCAGGGGGCAACCCCTCCCAACAAAGAATTGTCTAACCCAAGCCAGGCATGGTGGCACAGGCCTGTAATCCAGGCGCTTTGGGTGGTTGAGGTAGGAGGATCACGAGTTCAAGCGCAGCCTGGACAACTTTACCAGTTAGTGAGACCCTGTCTCAAAATAGAAAAAGATAGGGATGTAGCTTAGTGCAAAGGCCCTGGATTTAATTCTCAGTACCGGGAAAAAAAAAATCCAACTCAAAATGTCATTAATGCCCTGTGTCTTATCCCCTCAGGCTATTGTAACAAAATGCTTTTGACTGACTGGGTAATTTATAAACAACAAAAATGTATTACATTTCTGGAGGCTGGGAAGTCCAGGATCACAGCAGCTGCTGCTTCGCTGTCTGATGAGAACTTATTCCTCATAGACAGTGACCTCATCCAGGAGAAGGGGCCAACAAGCTCCCTCTGGCATCTTGTACTGGGGCTCTGCTCCTGAAGTTGGAGCCTTCGTAACCTAACCACCTCCCTAGGTCCCCATTTCTTGATGCTATTGCTGTGAGGTCTTGGTTTCCACATATGAATTCTATGGGGACATCAACATTCAGACAATAGCACCCTGCTAACCCCACTTAGAGCCTGGCTCTGCAGTTACTCCCCAGACCTATCTGTTCCCAGAGACTGAGGCTCCCTGGTGAGGCCACGCCTGGAGACTTTCCAAGGCTTGTCACCTGTCACCAGGCCAAGTGACATCAACTTGCTCACAATTAAGCAATGATTGAACTGTTTGGGGAAAGTGAGGGGAGAGTACTGCTTGGTGGGGGGTTGTAGCCGCTCTTGGGTGCCAGGCTAAGAGAAGGAGAGGGAGAGCACAACAGCAGTCTGGGACAAGATTTTTTTGTCTTTTTTTTTTTCTGGCAGAGCTGAGGATTGAATCCAAGGCCTCAGACATGCTAGGCAAGTGCTCTACCGCTGAGCCACATCCCAGCACCTGAAACCCTTAGAGAGAGAGAGAGGTTTAAAGAGTGTTCTGAGCCCTCTCTCCTCCAGGTTGTGAAGGATGAGATCGGTTTAGGTCCTCAGATGCCACTAACATCATCAGCATGATAAATGCTTTGCACTGAAATAATACAGAGAATCAGGATTTCTGCTCCCTGGAGCCTCTGAGCTGAGGAGGGCAGGCTTTGCCAGAAGCCCTGTCTCTGAGAAGCCTGGCATCCTCTGCAGTTCCGGCTTTTCAGGCTCTGTTCTACATTTGCATTCTGGCCTTGCCTCTGCCCAGCTGGGTTCTTGCTGGGAGCTGGATCCTGCCTGGTGGGTGGGTGTCTGATCTGCAGTGCTCTGGAGACCTGACCCTCACAGCCCCAGCCCTGGTGCCTCTTCTCCGAGGGATGTCCTTGACAAGCCTTCCTGACAGGGGCAGTAGCACTCCTTGTGCAAAGACAGTGAGAGAGGGGAGACTCAGAGACGGCCATTTTTTTCAGTTACTAATAAGACACTGAAAAGACTGATTGGATCACAACTCTATCAAGCCTGGGGAATGTTTGTTTGTTTAGAGCTGTTCCCTAATGCTCTCTCCAGTCCTCCCACCCCACAAAGCTGACCTTGTGCAAAGCTTTTCCAAACCAGCTGTTGTTGCCAGGCAGAGCTCCCTCCTCCGGCCTCAGGCCCAGCTCCCCGTCAGGGTGAAGTCAGGCCAAGGCAGGGTAAGGAGTTCGGAGGGCGTGGGTGTTTGTGCTGGGACAAGGAGTCCTTTTGCTGTTGTTCTCTGTGTTATTTTCAGACAGATAGGAAGGAAAAAAATAGTAAACATTCCTCAATTTTAGACAAAAGCTAAGAAAGAATTAGGACCCTCCTGAGGCAAAGCCTTTCGTGGGGGTGCTGGGCAGGAAATACACGTCCTGACTCCCCTACACAAAGGCTGAGTTGGGGGAAACCAATCCACAGAGCAAGTGTGGGATGTGATCCAAATTCAATTCCACTGTTTCATCTCCCATTGTCCCTATGAGCTATTCAGGGAGGGGAGCATTTCCTCTTTCCCTGGATGACAGCTCTGCCATCCTCACGTCTCTTCTGGTCATGCTTAGGTAGGCTCATTTGGTGTTACAAAATTCACTGTCAATTTAGGGATTTAAAGCATCCAGTCAAAGATATTAGATGACACTTTCATCTTTCTTCAAAGATAAATCTTCCCCCTGCCCTAGTTATGGGCTGTAGTGGGGGGCTGCTGGTCTCCAGGGGCTAGGGTACAGGAGGCTTTTGTCTATGTTCTCACCTGAAGAACCCCCTCCCAGCTCGCTGGTTAGTTTCAGGGTCCAAGTGGTGGGGGGAATGAGAGGAGAGGAGAGGAGAGGAAGTAAGGGAAGTGGGAAATCACACAGTTCCTATTGGGCCACATGGCTGGCAGCTCTTCGGCCTGGCAGGTGGTGAAATCTCTTCCCTAGAAGTTTCTCTGGGCTCTTCAAAGGTTCCCGTCTCTGTGGTTCCTGGCAGAAGTTCCTTGATTTACACTTCCATTCCAGGTTAACAGTTTGTGACTCCATCTTCAACCCTGCAAATCCAGGCATCCTCCTCCAGCTTCTTGCAGCTGAGATCCCTTTGACCTTCTAGGAGGGCCTATAGAACATTAAAGAACCCCCCACTGGCTCTCTTTCCCCACGCTCCACCTCCAATCCACAGCAGTTCATGGGATATATTCACGTGGTCCCTGCCCCACTCCTAAGGCAGCCCCTTTTCTAGGCCCAGGGCCATGGCGCCATAGCTCTTAACAGCTCCAAGGAAGCCGTCATCACTGGGTGAAGGTGGTAGAACCCCAACACCATTAGGGTTGGTGCTCCCAGCATAGATTTGCCCTCTTTTAAGCTTTCTAATTTCAAACCCTCCCCATTCTCCACCCTTGGATCCTTTTTATACTCTTGACATGCTGAGGACCCTAATGCTGTGCACCTAGTCCTCCATTGTTTCCTCTGTGAGTACTGTGTGTGGTGCCTGTCTCACACTCAGTTTGATGTCTCTGTTGTGATAGCCTGCCTGCACAGTGACCCCAAGTATCACCCCCTGCTGGGATTCACAGCCATGTGCCCCCGTAGCTATTTCTATTGCAGAAAAGACATGCAACTTCTCAGGCTAGGTCATCCTGGTGGGTCACAAATTGTGTCCTCCAAAAGACATATTAAAAAGCCCTTGGAATGTGACCTTATTTAGAAATAGTCTTTGCAGATATACTCAGGGTAATACTTGATGAGAGTGGGTCCTACAGCCAATGACGAGAGTCCTTATAAGGACAGAGTGATATAGAGCAAATAAACATAGCTTGCATGCGAAGGGAGGCAGAGATAGGAGTTGTGCAGCCACAAGCCAAGGAACACTGGGGGTCACCAGAAGCTAAGAGAGGCAAGGAAGGATTCACTTCTAGAGCTTCCTGAGGGAGTATGGCCCTGCAAACAACTTGATTTCAAACTGCCTTCAGAACTGAGAATAAATTTCTGCTGTTTTAGGTCACCTTGTTGTGGTACTTTGGTCCTGTAGCCCTACGAATCTAATACTATCATAAGAGACATTGTGGCTTCCTCCTTGCTCTCTTTTGACTCACCCATTGTGGGAGATGCCAGCTGCCATGTCATGAGGCCACTCAAGCAGACCTATGGAGAGGTCCCCATAGGAAGGGACTGGGACCTCCTGCCGGCAGCCACCACCAGCTCCCAAGCCACATGAGCCAGGACCATGGAAGCAGCTCCTCCAGCCCCAGCCAAGCCCTCCAGTGACTGCAACTCCAGCTGACATCATAAATGCATGAGGTCATCATGCGGAACTTAATGCTGTGAACCTAGTCCTCTGCTGTTTCCTCTGTGAGTACTATGTGTGATGCCAGAAACCTGAGCCAGAATACCCAGGTCCTGACCAACAGCAACTCTAAGGCAATAAATGTTAATTATTGCCTTAAGCTGCCCAGTCTGGAGGTAAGCTGTTAAGACATAACTAATCTGCTATATGCCCATATTAATTATGCCTCAAGTAATACTGGTGTCTATCATACTGAGGCCTTAATATGACCTGCAATGGGAAGAGTTCTCTACAACCCTTATACACCATCTAGAATGCTTAGGGACCCAGCAGCATTCTCTATGGGGACATTTCCAGCAATGGGCTTCCAGCCACTGTAGTGAAATGTCCACCTTATTCATTCACCAATGGCCACCTTCCACATGCCAGATATTCCCTATGGGTTGGGAGTATAGATGCATTCATAGTCTGTTCATGGCTGCTGGCCGTATCTCTGCCAGTAGATAGATATTACCAAGAAGGGCTGCACTTGTTTTTGCAGCAATGGGAAAAGACAGGCACTGAGGCAATGAGAAGAGAAACTTACAGCTGTGTGACCTCCAAGAAGAGCACTAACTTCACAGCTGTGCGAGAACAAGAAGAGGTAGAGTTGGAACTAGGATACAGACACCCCAGCTCTGGTCTTGAACTTGTGCTTCCTGAAATACACAAAAGTGGGCTTGTGCTGTCTGGGTCTCTGCAGATTGTTGGCCACATGGTCTTGAAGTCTGCTGGGACACTGTTGTTTGGGTAATAGTGTTTTTGGAAAACTCAAAATACTGCGATCTTGTTTTTGCTTTGCCATCTTGATTTTGAGATTCTTTGAAGCACGACTCATCCGTGGTTTCCTCTGAAACTTATAAGCCTCAGGTGAGAAGACTGGTCCTCACTGTTGTCCAGATCCTCAACTTTCTTAGTAGTGGTGCTTTCTGAAGAGATTGGATCAGGGGCCAGGGGTATAGCTCAGCAGCACAAGTGCCTGCCTGGCAAGTGCAAGGTCCTGAGTTTGATTCCTGGCACCAAAAAAAAAAAAAAAGAGAGAGAGGTTGGATCAGAATACACTGTCTACTGAAATCTACCAGGTTGGTCTTTCCCAAGGTCAAATTATATAGCTTGCAGATAAGCACAGCCATGATTTCTTGAGCTTCTACTCAGCAGCAAGTGATATCAGTGATCTTTACAACACCACCTCAGGACAAGAGATCATGATCCATTCTTGGCAGCCCAGGAAAGTGAAGTTCAGGAATGATCCTCAGGTCACACAGCTAGTGATGGCAAGAGACAGAACTAGTGCTGGCTTACTCTAAAGCCCCTCCCAGGAACCCATCCCTCGCTGCCAAAGAGGGTGACTCAGACGCTCTGTGGAATTCAAGTCAGTGCCTAGGAAGGGGGGTTTTCTCCATCTTGTCAGGATCACGGTGGGTTTGGGGTACAGTGGGTAGATACTGAAAGCAGTGAGATAGCGTGAAGGAGTGCTTGAGGAAAATGGGGTCTGATGCCTGAGTGCCAAGGTTTGAAACCTAGGTTCCCTTATGGACAATGTCTCAGATTCCTCTTTTGAAAATTGGGGGTAGGAGCCCCAACCCTCTTCAGTTTGGGGGAAGATTAAATGAGATAATGCATGTGACATTCCCAGCAAGACTTAACAAACCCGTTCAACTTTTCTGTTGTTAACATTATTAACATTACCTCCCTCCATTGAACTAGAGAAGTGGTGACAAACCTACTGCGTACGTGCTGCAGCAGGTGCACAGAACCCTCCCCTTCTTTAAGCATGCAAGCCAAGTTGCCTGAGCAACCAAGCATCAGATATCAGTTTTTTTTTTTTTTTTTAACTAAACCCTCAGTCTTCAGGTTTAATTGCAGTGTTTGCACTTTGTGATAAATAAGTGGGGTTTGGGTTGCAGTTTGGACACTTGGTCTCTAAAAGGTTCACCATCACTGCACTAGACTGCTGTATTAGGCCAATATTTGAAAAGGGACAAATTTAAACAAAACAGTTGTATAGCTAGAGGTTGATGGCAGGGGAATATGGCTGGAAGGGTTGCCTTCTCAATTGAAGGCTTTCTTTTCCAGCTCGGAGACAGCCCCCTGTGTAAGATGATGAGTGTGATTAATTGCAATCAGCTCCTTTCCACATAATGAGGAAGCTGGATGTCATCTTGTGGCTTCTGTCCAAGTTGATGCAGTTACCCTTTATGTCCACAGGATGCCGCTATCGATCATACTTTGACTATGCAGCCAAGCCAAGGATGCTCAAGGTAGGGGATTTATCAACAATTCTCATTTAGGGCAAACGTGCTGTTAGAGGTCTGGTGGAACCCATCTTTACACCATCACACTGTGTGAGAAGAAGGGGTGGGCCGGGAAGGAGGGATTTGGCCAAGGAGATCTGGGGCATTGGGCAGAGAGGAGGAAGAGAATCCAGATCTTCTGCCTCCTAATTAAATGCACTGACTCCACATCTGTCCGCATGGGAGAAGCTTGGTGAGGACAGAAGATCTTGTTTCTAGGCAGTAGGGATGGACTTTGCCCGGGATTTGATTCAAAGCTGGGGACTGGATGACACAAAGTCCCCTGTTCCTTTCCCTTGAATCCTAACTCAGCTTTATGGCAGAATGGCTCTCAGCTTCCTGGTTGCCCTTCCGGTGATTGCTTTTTAAGAGCAGGTATGATGAAATTGGGGTCCCTCATCATTAGACAAGCAAGGGCTAGGAGAGCTGGCCCCTCCAGGGATGACTGGGCCTGGATCCTGCTCCGGAGCAGAGGGCCCTTGTGCTCCTGGGGAGCTGTCTTCCTGGGAGCCTGGGAAGTATACACAAGGGAACAGAAGACCCTGCCAATGAATGTTGGCATTCTCTCTACATGAGTGCGTTCAAGGGCCTCCAGAAAATCCACACCTTCTATGCCTCAGTGGCTTTGCTTGTACCATAGGACGATGTAACGGGGCAAGAGCATGTCTGGGCAGACACGTTCACAGAAAAGACAGGACCCCACTCCGTGTTATAGTCCCAGACTCCAAATCCGCAGCAGCAGGGCCTGCCAGCTTGGAGATGCTCCTGCCCTTGGACGCCAGCAGTGCCTGCAAAAGCAAACAAGGCAGTAGAAAGCTCGAGCACTTCCTCCTGGGTACCAAAGGCTTGGGGTGAGGGCAGAGGCCTCTGGGTAGCAGTGAGGCCACAGCCTTCACTATTCCATTCTTTAGGAGGGGGCTTCCTGGGACAGGCAGGGTCCCCTCCCCACACCTGAACTGTGAGATGACTAGAGAGAGCAGAAGGGAAAGTTCCCAAGTGTTATAGTGTGATTATTATTAATTTTATGGTCTGAAGAGCTGTTGGGGTGGAGACGAGGATAGGAAAAAGTAGAACCAGTCTGGATTGGCTTATTTTTATTGCTTTTAAAAATCATGTGAATAATCTATGTGTTCATTGAAAAAATAGAAAACACAGATAAGCCAACAAAAATCATCTGTTAACATTTTGGCAAATATCCTTTTTCTATGCTTAGAAACAGAGAATACATTTCACTAATCAAATGTTTACTTTCTATCCACAGCTTTATAACCTGTGTTTTTTTTATGGACTAGCATCCTGGGATGTCTTTTCAGGCCAACAGATAGAAAGACTTCACCTCCACTGAGGTTATGCCCCCTGTGGCGTTCTTAGCTGGTGGTTAATAATTCGCCCTCTCTCTAATCAGCGGTGAAAACGACCAGGCTGGAGCTGGACGTCAAGCCTTGGGCACCTGAAGAAGACCGAAGACCAGCAAGGCATATAGATGTTCCAGAAGGACACTAGGTCTCAAAAGATCCTTAGGATTCCCTTAAACATGTGGACCTCAGAGGGCAGGGCACAGTACCAGGGAGGACAGATGCATAGAGGGCAAAGCAACCTGGAAGAGGGGGTGCAAATGTGCAGAGCTCACAACCTGGGGGTGGGAGCAGGCCTCAGGGGAAAATAGACTCCAGCCAGTGGAACAGGTTAAGGGCTCAGGGTCACATAAGATCCTGGCTCTGTTCCCTACCAGCTGGGACCACTGAACAGAGCAATGGGCCTCATAGCATCACCTGCAAAACCAATAATGGCTACAAATGATGCTGCTGCAAGTTTAAGGGTGCAATGAAAGAATCTAGAAATTATAGGAAGTGTTTCATGGCTGCCGCTTTTATAATCACAACCGGTACTGTTTCCTGCAAAAGGCTCTGCCCCTCCCTGCCATGCCCACCCCTTTTCTTGAAGCATGAATTTCTCTCACTCTCCAGTTCCCAGAATCTGCTCCCATTTCCTCCTCCTCCTCCTCCTCCTCCTCCTCCTCTTCCTCTTCCTCTTCCTCCTCCTCCTCCTCCTCCTCTACCCCTGCTGGACCACAGGCCTCCAGCATCAGGAGGGAGGGAAGGAGAGGTGCAGGTACCACAGGAGGGCAGCAAGCCCCTCTGGAAAGCAGCCTGCTTCCTCCCTTTTCCCAGCTCACACAAAAAGACAGCACGCGCGCACGCACGCGCGCGCACACACACACACACACACACACACACATACTGGGGCGCAGAGGAGGAGGTGATACCCAGTGGGGTCCCCCATCCTCAGGCTGAGCTGACCAGGCCCTGGCAGCCAGAGTGGGCAATTGTTTCCAAAGGTCTTAGGAAGGCAGGGTGGCTCTTCAGGTCTTGTTGGCTTGCAGTAGAACTGCATCTGCTTGGGAGGGAGTCAGAACCTGGAGAAGGATAGGAGGGAGATGTTAGGGTCTAACTTGCACCAGGACCCAACACAACACAGGCACCATGAGAGGCAGCTTGTTATGACTAGTATCTGATGTCCTCCCTAAAGCCTCACGTGATCATAGGCGGAGCTCTTTGGAGATGGCTGGATCTAGGGTGTGTGATGCTGAGATTAAGGGTGTGATTGCTAAATTAGTCCAGTGATTGGTTTGGCATAGTTCTCGGTATAAATAATGGGAAGGCCTGCTGGAGGTGGTGGTGTGTACCCATAATGCCAGCATTTGGGAGGCTGAGACATGAGTTCAAGGCCAACCTAGACTACATAGCAAGATCTTGTCCAAAATAAACAAAAAGCAACAACAACAAAAGGGAGGGCCCATCCTGGGTGTGGGTGGCACCATCCAAAAGGCGGTTAGCCTAAAAGGGATAAAAGGGAGAAGCAGGCTTGCTGCTTGCCTTCTGCCTACCCTGCTACACCTTGGACTGTTTCTCTTCTGCCACACCACCCTGCCTTGGATCCAGCTGACTAGGGACCAAAACCTCTACAAACTATGAGCTGAAATCAACCTTTGCTCCTTTAACTTGTGGTACAGGATATTTTGTCTCAACACTGAGAAAAGTAATACAACTAAAAGTAAATACAGTAGATACAGCTCAGCTTACTAATGGGAGCCAATATAGCACGGTGGTTGAGCACGCAGGCTGTGGAGTCTGAATGGACCTGGCTCCCGGTCCTGGCTCCAGCACTTACTAGCAGTGTCACCAGGATCAAGTCACTTAACCTTTCCAAGCCTCCACTTCCCCACTAATAAATAGTACTAGCATCTTCCAGATAGAGCTTGTGCAAATGAAGGTAATATAGATAGTGCACAGCCTCCTCAGTGGTGGGAAAGCGGAAGGATGTCCTGGCAAGCTGGGAGACAGCTGTGTATCAAATGAGTGTTTTCCCAAGTTTGTAGCTAAGGCTGGGTCTTCACAGGACCAGTTGCTGGTCTGGGGGCTGGGGATCTACAGAGGAAGGAATGCATTGGGGAATAGATGAGTGGAGGATCACAGGCCTGGCTGCTTTGAGACCAAGTAAAGGCACCAGTCACTCTCCTGTTTAATGAACATGTTGTACTTGTCCACATTGCACCCGCTTCCTCCGCACTGCTCTCCAAGGGGCCCCTGCTCTTCCCAGAGGGCGCAGGGCAGAGGGCTCAAGCTAGGTAATCAGACCCAAGGCAGCCATGCTGATACCTGTGTTTATGCAGGAGGGAAAAAAAGATTGTACCCAACTAGGAGAAACCACTGGTCTGAGAGAAGAGAGGTGACTGAGTAATCTTATTAGCTAGGGGCCTGGAGGTCAACCTGGGCCCCTCTCAGGGAAACAGGGGCTGGCAGTGACCCCCTTGGCTGTGTATGGATGGCTCCGGCCTGGCCCCGGCCTCCCTCTTGTAGCCTGGTGATGAGGAGCAACTCCTCCAAGGGTAAAAGCCCTGTGCTTCTGGCAGGGGTTGGGGATGGTGAGTGTCTGCCTGTGTTCTTTTAACTTCTCCAGAAAGGTCAGGAAAGAGTCTCCATTATGAGCCATCCTGAGCCTGGTACGATTTTCTCATACAATTTAATCTACTCCCTGGATGGCCTCCAGTGTGTGAGCCACTGACAGTCGTCTTTGCAATCGATTTCCTGGAAGCAGCAGCCACGTGATAGATGTGTGCTAGGGGCACTGTGGGATGAGGCTGAGTGGGCATAAGAGCCCTAAGCCACCCTCCCACGCCATGGCAGGGCTACCTAGTGTGGGATGCGTGCACTTCTGCCCACCAGCCCCACCGAGATGCCAGTGACGGCAGAATGACTCCCATGTGCCCAAAGGGGCCTGGCAGCATGCTCACTGCAGGGCTGCGTGTGTGGAGAAAACGGGAGATGCCTTATCTGTCCATCAGGCAGGGCTGTCACCTTCTGAATGTGGATGGCGTGCCCCAGAACTGTGCAGAGGCAGTATTTGCCACAAAACCTTTTGATGCAGGCTCCCTGGAGGAGGGCAGCGGGACTCAGAGTGGGGTGGCATGGAAGCGAGTGGTCAGATCAACCGCCTTATGTCCACACATGGATTATTGTGCAGAAATCTAAAAACCAAAACATGGATGCTCCATATATATTGCCATGAGAAAACACCCAGAATGTGCTATTACAGGGGGAAATTGCCAACCAAGATGGTTGGCAGGATCTTATTTATGTAAAAGAAAAGACACTGACCTCATTCATGCATACAAGTGCATGTGTGTGTGTATGCATGTGTGTGTGCTATGTATGTTAACCCCCTGGGGAAGTCTGGCATGATACCTAGTACGCGGCTTATATAGGTTATTGCTGGGGAAAGCAGTGATATTGGTTAGAAAGAGGAATAAAAGGAACTTTTTATTTTTTTTCTGTCTTCACCTCTGTGTTCACTTTTTCTAAATCCATATTTAAAAAAAAAAAAAAACTTGGTTTAAAAAGAAAGAAAAGGCAGGAAAATGTCCTCTTCTGTGTTTGCTGCCTGACAATAACCTTCATCTCCCAGGGCCTTCTCAAGTGAATCTCTTTGCCATACTTCTTGGGAAAGCAGCTCCTGCCAATGTCCCTTAGCTTTTACTCTGCGAGAAGAAACCCTGGGTAGGGAGGGCTGGATGTCACCTGGACCCACATTGAAGGCCACTGCCACCTTGGAGTTGAACCCCCACAGCCATGCTAGACTTCCGATCCATGTCCAGGGGAGCCCTGGAGACAGCTTGTGGTAGTCGGAAGGTCCTCACTTGGGCCTGCAGCAGGGGATGTGTACGGGAAAGAGCCCCACAAGGCTGAGGGGCAGGTAAGGCCAAATAAATCTCTCTCTTTTTTTTGTTTTTGGTACCAAGAATCGAACTCAGGACCTTGCACTTGCCAGGCAGGTGCTTGTGCCACTGAGCTACATCCCTGGCCCTAGATAAAGCTCTTTTCTTTAGCCACTTTCCCTTCTTCCTCTCTCAGGATGGCAGAGAGGAAGAAAGAATGGCTCCCCTCCTACGTCCACATTCACTACCCCTTCTCGGGCCTCTGACCCTCCCCCTAAAGGAGCCAGGCGTGACAGTCCCCAGTGCCAAGCTGGGGCCCCTCCACTCTCTATCTGACCTGGGCCTACCCACCTTGTCCTTCCTGGCCTGCTACAGGGGCTGTGGCTCTCCAGGCTCTGCTCTGAGAAAGGAACCCTTCTCCCCTAGAGACCTGTGTGGCTGCCAGGCTGCCCGTGGGTCCGGCCTTGATTGCCTGGGAGGCTTTGCTTCTTCCTTCCTTGCAGAAGGAAGAACAGGGGCTGGGATACGCCACATGGACGGCCCGCCTGTCTATGCCAGGAGTCCCGCGGGGGTCTTAACTCACGAGCTCATGTACACCCCTCAGCTGTGCTGCCCAATAGATGAGGCTCACAGACCTGGGGCAGGGAGCCTTGGCCATACAGCCAGCAAATATGGAGTTGAGGTCTGCACTTAGGTCCTTCCATTCCCAAAGGACACTCATTCCCACTGCACCCCCGCAGCGGCCTCCCTTTCTGCAGGCTTCAGGGCAGAGGCTTGTGGAAGGAGCGGTGGCACGGCCCTCAGCAGCCAGGCTGTGGCTCCTCCTCTTGGGTTTCTCAGCTGTGTCTCCGGCACCACACTGTCCCAGCCAGATCACCAGGACCCCATCTTCTAAACTCTCAGCCCTAGGGCCAGGCATGGTGGCGCACGCCTATAATCCCAGCACTTGGAAGGCTGAGGCAGGAGGATCGCTGCGAGTTCAAGACCAGCCTGGGTCACAAAGTGAGCTCAAGACCAGCCTGAACTGCATAGTGAGACCCTGTCTCAAAAAGAAAAAACAAGAACAAAACAAACAAACAAAAAAAAGCACAAAGTCCCTCAGCCCTTCCTGCAAGCGTCTTTTAGCCAAGATCCAATTCCTCAGGACAGCAACCCAGCCAGGTCTGATGGTCAGACTCTGCCATCACGAGCCATGTGACTGTAGGGGGAGGGTGTCTCCGAACAGCTCCATATCTCGGTTTCTCCATCTGCACAAGAGGGGTGATGCTGGGGATATTCCCATGGCCGCTGTAAGCCTCAGCACGCAGGGCAGCTCCCCACCTGTTAGCACTCTGTGTGTCTTTGCTGCTATCGTTCCTTTGCTTCCTCTGAGTTCCCTGGTGGAGGATGGGTTATTTTGCAGCCCTCTGGCTGGGAGGAAATCAGAGTGGGCTGGATGGAAACCAGGCCGTGGGCCTCATGAAACCGCCATATGGTGCTTTTCTCAGAGCTGGATATGGGAAGAACAAGTTCATATGGGGAGGGAGCAGGAAGGGAGGAAAAGAACAGGGACGGGGCTTTTAAAGCACTCTATTTTTTGCTCCTTACCTATGCCCTGTCTGCATCCTCCTCCTATTGCCCCCTTTTTCTTTAGGCCTTTGGGGCCATGACCATCCGCAGGAAGCCCTGTACAGAACTGGAAAGTGGAAAGAAGGGTGCACTTGGGGGAGCATGCGGAGTAGATGCCCTCGATCCCTGGCAGATGCCCAGGGACGCTTCATAGTAACTGTGGGCAGAGCCTGTGTGCACATCTAAAGCCGTGTGGTTTCCTTCTCCCTGTAAGACACCCTTAAAGAGATGCCATCCTTCTCAATCATAAATAACACTCAGAACCCTCAGGGTTGGGCCTGAAAATACTGACAGCTCCTTTTCTAGAACATTTCTGTTTCTGCCTTCCCAGCCAGGTTGTCACAGAAAAAGAACAAGCCCACCCCTGCCCTGCCCAGGACAGTGTCTCCCGATGCACTGAGCCTGGACACAAAGGATCTGCATTTATGGACAGAATGATGGAAGGAGGGGTCTGAAAACAAGGGCTGCTCCACAGAGAGTTGTCACGCGTGAAGGGGTTGCATGATACCTAGCACATAGGAGCTGCCCCATACATGCCGCTTAACTCAGTGTGGAGCATGAGTAGTTGTCACCAATGCCGATTTCTTTCCGGTAACACCTCCAGCAAGCAGGGGCCAACACACCCAGGGGTCCGGGTTCACCAGGGAACCAGCTACTCTCTTCTCCAGGCCTCAGCTGTCACACAGTGGCTCTGTCCTCAGCAGGCCGTACTGGCTTTATGTGTAGTGTCAGGATCAAGGCTAGTGATCCTGTGCTCAGTGATCTCCCTGCTAGACAACCTGAGGGGAAACTGGTTCACAAGGAGAATAGACTGCCCCTCCCCTCCAGGGCTTTTGTCTGGGCAGCGGTGCCCTAGGCCCTCCCCCAGCAACAGAATTGCTTGTCTGACCAGCGCCTCCTGGAGGCCAAACAGTGCCCAGATCAGTTGGCTCGGAGTCTCTAGGAGATTTTAGTAGCCAGTCTCACTGTCTCACCTCAGCCAGCCTGGACTTTCACGTGACCTGCTTCTATTCCTGGAAGGTCCCCAAAACAGAGGACCCTCAGGCCAGGCTTCCTGATGGTGGGAAAGGATGCAGTGTGGCATTGTCTCATATCCCTACAAGCAAGGCTCGTGTTACCCAGTCCCTGTCCAGGTCCTCTCAGGCAACTCCCCCCTGCCACACGCACACACACACACACACACACACACACACACACACGGGCACACCTGCCTTCATGGCCTCCTTTCAGTCCGCTTGCTTGCGCCAGTGGTTCTCAAATGTGAGCATGCATCAGAATGCCCTGGAGCGCTTGTTCAAACTCAGGTTTTTCACCTCAACCCCAGAGCTCTGCACTCAGCAGGTCTAGGGTGGGGCTTGAGAATATGCTTCTCTACCGAGTTCCCTGGTGGCTGGGCCCTGGCCCAGGGGCCACATGCTGAGAACTACCAGTGTAAGCTGGGTTGTCATTTGTCATCTCAGGGAAACCTTCCTTGACCTAACAAAAGAGACGAGGTCCTCTGACTATGTTTTCACAGGAACCTAGTTCTTCTTCATGGCATCTATCACATTTTGCATTTACTACAACTCTTTGAAAATATGGAATTGGTGGCAGTCTCCTTCCTAAGCCTCTGTCTGCTTTGCTTGCCTTGTCCCCTCGGTGCCTAGCGCAGTGCCTTGTACACTGTAGATGCCCACCCAAGACTTTCTGTGTGAATGAATGAGTGAACAAGTGAATGACTAACGTGTGCAAAAGAAGGATCAGCACTGGCTCAGGAGGCTCTGTGGGCAGGAGGAAAGTAACCACAGGCAACGGGGGCAGCACTTCTAAATGTGGCTCCAGGAGCCAGACTGCCTGGGTCCACGCACAGCCAGTTATTTGTAGCTGTGTGAACCTGGGCTGGTTACTTAACCTCTTCATTCCTCACCTTGCTCATCTGCAAAGCAGGAATACAGTAGTACCTGTTAATAGCTCACAGGGTTCTAGAGGATTAAATGAGCTCATGTGCACTTACGTTTGTGCCTAAGGTGATGCCATTGCTATCAAAGTGCCTGGCTGTGAGGCAACCTCTTGCTTTAATCAGACTTTGTCCAGGGACCTGCTTCTGAGAGTCCCCTCTGGCAGACTCTAAGGAAGTAGCCCAGGGTTTCAGTTGGGACTGATTTTTCAAGAATTTGCAACCCCACCTGCCGTGGCCTGGACGATGCCGGGGTGGGTGCACACAGGCAGTGGTGGCAGGGCTGGGGGTCCCCTAGCTGCTCCCCAGGTGGGTGGAGACCGTGCACCAGCCTCCTTCCCTGCGGCCTGGCTGGAGCTGACTCACCGCCAGGAGGCTGGTGATTAGCATGCAGGGCAGGTACCAGGAGGGAAGCTGTCTCCGCGCAACGGCTCTTGATGTGCTTCTCTGATTAATGTGGCAGGGAGAACATTGCCGCTTTTTCCTGAATGGTGGCCACGTGGAGCTGGAGTCATTAGCACTGCATCTCCCGCTTGCCGTGACCCGCTGACCATCCTAAGTAGATAAAAATGAAAATGGCCAAGACAGCTGCAAGGCTCCGAAACAAACGACCTGGTGGCTCTGCAGCCCAGGGAGAGGCTTTTATGTGGAAGGTCTTGGAGCGGCCCCACCCTCTCCATCCTCTCGCATCCTTAAAAGCCATCCTTAAAAGTTCCGCTTGGGAACCTGCAGCTTCCCTGGAGGTCAGATCCCTCTCCCAGGAATGGGCCCAGGTGTGAGCGCTGGAAATTGACGCCTCCTGCTCCACAGCGGTTTGCTTGAGCGAAGTGAAGATGGGCCAAAGGGTGCTCCAGGTAGAGGGATCAGACTGGGCGCGGGACAGGAGCCCAGGGACCCCAAGCAGGGAAAGCTGTGCCATTTCAAGGAGGGCATATGGAGCAAGAAGGGAGACTGAGGATCTGAACCTAACTTGAGGGCAGCTGGGAGTGTGTCATCCTGGGTAGCGGGGAGGGTATGTTAGGGGCCCAGCCTGCAAGCAGGGAGAACAACAGCCAGGAAGCTGACACCCTAACCCAGGGGCAAATGCTGCTTCCGTGAATTAATGCTGCGAGTTCCTCAGCCTCTTCCTGCCTAGGGAGCTCTGGGTCAGTAGCTATTTGCAGTCTCCACAGGGCAAAAGCTTGTGTTGCCTGGAGAAACGGAGGCTACCAGTGGAGACCCGTTCCAGGACAGGAGCGATGCTGGGGGCCCCTCCCACAGCTTGGTTTTCCCTGCGTTCTGTGGCTTTGCACACACATTTCCATGGTGTTCCAAGTTATTGTTTGGGGACCCCCCCCATTTACCACTTTCTTTCTCTGGAGCTAAGTGTCCCCTCCTGCAGAAGGGATGGGACAAAGACACCTGAGCTTGCTGGGTGGAATGATGATGAGATGGTGCAAAAAGCACCAGATCTCAGGAAGCCAGGGCTCCAGCCAGCCCCACGTCCCCACCATACCGCCTCTGCCAGCTCCCCCACACGGCCATCATCCCCGGTTTGGGCAGTGATCTGCAGTCCCGCCCCGCAGCACCTCTGGGCCAGAAAGCAGCTCTCTGCAGCTCGCCTAGGCTGGAAGGGGTGAGCAATAGTGCTAATTGTAGGGCAGCAGGAAAGGCTGGGAGGAGGTAGCTGAGAGAGAAATCATCGTGAGATGCTCCAATTACTGATCAGCTGGGACATAATTGCGGGGCTGCCATCTCGGTTGCTGGAGGTACCAGGCCTCCCTCTCATTAATCAACCATAATCCAGAATTACGACCCTTAATGATTTGCAAAGACACTTATGCACACACGCACACATGCTCGCCCATGGACACAAGTAATTGATAATCAACCATGTAATTGGAGGCAATAATTCTGTCTGGGCTGGATGATAGGCTCCACCCTGCCAGCAGAGGAGAGCCCAAGTCACAGACGACCCCTGCCTCTGCGGGAGGAAGGCAGGCTCCTGGTCTTCTTGAGCTGGTGTCCTCCAGTTGCCTCTGGGCAGTAGGAGCGGGGCAACTTTTGTTTTCTATCATTATTCATCCATATTTTCTAATTTTTGCACACTAGTATTTGTAACTGTTAAAAACATCACTTTCATTGTCACTGCTTATTCATGATATGAAACTCACAGCCTCCAGCTTTGGTGAGTGTGCAAATCACCTGGAGAGATGGTGAAGAATGTGGATCCTCAGCGCCCCTTCCAACAGGACTTAGACTTTAAGAGCCTGGTGTGGAGCCCAGGGATCTGCAGATTGTAATGCTTATTGAATACATACCCTAAATGGTTTGGATGCAGATGGTCAAGAAATCCCCCTGTAAGAACCAGTACCCTATCAGTCACAATGTGCACATCTATTATCCCAACACTCAGGAGGCTGAGGCAGGAGAATTGAGGGCTTAAGGTGAGCCAGATATAGTACGACACTGTCTCAAAAAAAAAAAAAAAATAGAGAATACCCTAAGCCAGTGGTTCTCAACCCTGGCCATACAATGACATCACCTGAGGAGTTTTTAGGAGATCACAGTGCCTACGTTAGGCCCCTAATGATTTGGACTTAACTGATGATACATGCAGGAATTCTTCCTTCCTTTCTTCCTTCCTTCCACCTTCCCTTCCTTCATTCCTTCTTTCCTCCCTTCTTTCTTTTCTTTTTCCTTCCTTCTTTCTGTGATATGGGGGATTGAACCCAGGACCTTCACTCTGAGCTACATCCCCAGCTCTTTTTATTTTCAGACAGGTTCTAAATTGTCCAGGCTAGGCTTCAAGTTGCAATCCCCCTGCCCCAGCCTCCCAGAATGCTCGGATTATAGGGATGAGCCTTCATGCTCAACTTAAATCAGGATTGTCTTTCCCAGCACCCACATTTTATCATTTCAGTGGGCTCATCTGGCATCTGTCCTCCCAACCTGTTGTTCTCTTTATTTTGGGAGCCTCTAGCTTTAGCTGGCTCAGGCTTTGCCATGCACATGAATCCCGTGGGCATTTGTTAAAAATGCAATTTCTGAGCTGGGCATGGTGGTCCATGCCTGTAGTCCCAGCACTTGGCAGGCTGAGGCAGGAGGATCATTGTGAATTCGAGGCTAGCCGGAGCTACAAAGTGAGTTCAAGACCAGCCTGAACTACTCAGCAAGACTGTGTCTTAAAAAGACAAAAAGGGGGTCAGGGAGATAGCTCAGTGGTGCAAGCACAAGCGCAAGGTCCTGAGTGCAATTCCTGGTACCAAAAAAAAAAAAAAAAAAAGGCAGTTTCTAGAGCCAGGTGAAGTGGCACATGCCTGTAATTCCAGCTACTTGGGAGGCTGAGGCAGGAGAAATGCAAATTTAAGGCTAGCTTGGACAATTTGGCAAGACCCTGTCTCAATATAAAAAAGGGGAGCCGGGGATATAGCTCAGTGGCATAAGCACCTGTCTGGCAAGCGCAAGGTCCTGAGTTTGATTCCTGGTACAAAAAAAAAAAACAAGAAAAGAAAATGTCGGATTCAATATAAAAAAGGGTTGAGGATGTGACTCGGTGGTAGAGCATTCATCTAGAGGATGAGTAGGGCACTCAACATGCAAGAGGCCCTGGGTTCAAGTTGAGGAGAGAGAGACAGAAGGAAGGAAGAAAGGGAGGAGTGCAAAAGGAGTTCTGGCTGAGGAGGTGGGGTGAGGATCTGCACCCTTAAAAGCATTCCCAGGTGACACTGCTGCCACTGGTCCTACAGAAGACTCGGTCATCATTCAAGGACCAAGCATAGGTAGACTCTGGAGCGAGAGAATCCTGCGTACAGAGCTGGGACAGGGGCAGTGCAGGGGCTGGGGCTGCAAAGCTATGCTGAGCACAGACACAGCCCTTGCGAGGCTCCCCGTGTGGATGTGATCTCCAGGCTCAGCCAGCTGGCCCAGTGCCTGCCCGCACATCCTCTACAAGGTTCTTCTGGGTTTCTGAGAACAAGACCTGCTCAAGTTAACTCAGATAAAGGGGGCCTGGAAGTAGGAAACTAGGCCTTGGGTCAAGGAGACCAGAAGAGACAAACTCCTGTGAAAGTTCTATGGAGTTGGAAAGAGTCTAACGGAGTCTCTGGGCAGAGGCCAGGCGAGAAAAAATGCAGCTGTCAGGGAGACCTGGAAATAAACACTTCCTGGGACCGGTGAGAAAGGCTGGCAGCAAGGAGGCCTGGGTGGCAGTGAGTCCCCCACATGGCCACGAGCACCCAGGATGCACATACTACTCCACCCACCAAGAAACAGAACCCATTTCCCCTCCCGGATCTGGCTGAACCCCTGCTCTGCGTTGGCTGGTTGTCATGGTACAAGTGACCCTTTCCAGCTCCAGGGCTGGCCCCCGGTGAACCTGGCAGCTTCTACTCTCACTCCCTGGGAAGCCTGCCACCATGTAAGAGATCCATCTTCCCTGAAGCCACCATGCTGGCCACGTGGAGGTCATGCAGAAGGGGGCTGAGGTGCCAGGTCTGTAAGTGAAGCCATCTTGGCCCTTCTCTGGCAGTCCAGCAGCCAGCTGTACACAGCCTAGTGAATGACCCCAGTTAACACCACAAGGAGCAGAAGAACCCATCAGCTGAGCCCTGCCCAATTTCTTGACTCACAAAATCATGAGAAATAAAAAGGTAGGTGAGCATGGTGATGCATACCTGTAATCCTAGCATTCTGGGAGGCTGAGGCAGGAAGATTACAAGTTCAAGCTCAGTCTGGGCAACTTAGTAAGACCCTATCTAAAAATAAAAGATAAAAAAGGGCAGAGTATGAGCTGTGAAGGCCTTGGGTTCAGTCTCCAGTACTTAAAAAAAAAAAAAAAGTTGCTGTCTTAAGCCCCTTTTATTTGAAGTCAATTGTTAGGCAGCAAGAGACAACTGAAGAAACACATAGGTTCTTCCTTGGCTCAGCACTGATGCTCACAGTGAGACCTGTGATCTCAGCAGGCCGAGGGTCCTAACCTGCAGGTGGAGGTTCAGTGAGATGGTGCATCAAAAGCCCCACACACAGGGCCAGGCACTTTGCTTGTGTACACGTCCAGAATCTAGGATTGCCGGAAGGGGTTTTTATATCTGTGCCGTGCCCTGACTGTGTGACGGCCATTCAGACCACTTTGTCCCAGATCCTTGGATGAAGAGCCATCCTTCTCCTGTGATGGGAATGGCTCGTCCCCACGGCAGGACTCTGGCTAAGAGCAGTGGCTCTGAGCCAGCCAGGCATGGGTATCAGCCCTTCTCTGCCCATTTCTAGTTTTGTGGCCTCACTCAAGTTATTGACTGTCTCTGAGCCTTGTTTTCTTAGCCTACAAACAGAAGTCGGCAACACCCCTCCTGCAGGAATCCTCCTTACCTGGCTGCTCCTCCCCACATTTCTCTCAACCAAGCTTTGTCATCGCCTGACTCGAGACAGGTGCTAATATTGGGACTTTGAGAAAAGGGCTGAGCCTGGTAAGGTGGTGCACACCTGTATTCACAGCACTCTGGAAGACTGGGGCAGGAGGATCGTAAGTTCAGGCCCAGCCTAGGCAACTTAGAGACTTATTGAGGTTGTGTTTCAAAATTAAAAAGGGCTGGGGATGTAGCTCAGTGTGAAGGCTCTGGCTTCAATCTCCAATACTGAAAAAGAGGGGCTGGGGTTAACAACACTGTATTACTTGGGAAGAGGGCTTGGGGAACCCTGGGTCATACTTTATCACATCCAGAGTCTGCCAAGCACTTTGCGTGACTGTCCCACACCGGGCCTTGGAGGGACATACCATCATCAACATAAGGTCCTCGTGTGAGGGGCTGCTCGAGGCCTTGTAGTGGACACTGACGTTTGTTGCTGTGTCGTCTGTGTGTGTGTGTGCGCGTGCGCTGTGCCTCCTTATATACCTTAGAGACTGATAGCAAAATACGCAAGGGAAACACTTCTAGGAATCAAAACATGATTTCTGTCTCACCCACCCACCTGACCTGCAGAGTACCTAGGAAGTCACCCCTTCTCACCAACCTTGCCCCCATCACCCAGGTGTCAACTGTAATTCCAGCTCTCTGACGGGAGGATCATATTTCAAGCCCAGCCTTGCAAAATAAAAAAAAATTTTAAAAGGGCTGAAGGTGGTATGAAGATCAGTGTGACGGCTCTTGGCTCAAATAGACAGACAGATAGATAGATAGATAGATAGATAGATAGATAGATAGATAGACAGAAAAACAGATAGACAGGACGTATATCCTATCCTCTGAGAGTCCTTCCTGCCCAGGAAGGAGAATTCAGTCCAGGGAGAAGACAGGGATCCAGGAAGGCAAATGGTCCCCAACGGGCTAACTAGGCCATGGAAGTCAAGGAGATGCATGCCTGTGTCTCCTGGAACGTGTGGCCTAGAGCCCTGCAGAGGGCCCATCAGGCCCCATCCAAGGAGGAGCTCTTCCTGCCTGCAGACCCCGCCCGCCCACTCTCACAGCCTCTCCTGGGTTGAGGCTTCCATCAGCTTACCGGAAACAAAAAGCCATGGTGCCTGGGTTTGCTAGGAGGTCGGCAGACAGGGTCTCTTCTGAATGAGTCCAAGTCCAAAAGGGTTCGGTTTCCCTTGAGCAGAGACGGCTGCTGGCAGTGGCTTTTATGACTAACCAGGTGACGGTGACCTTGAGATCCACTCCCAGGGTCTCTCCTGTCTGGTCTGGAGGGGAAGGATGAGAAGACTTCTGTGTTACACCGAAGAAACCAAAACCCTGTAAAAGCTCACTGCAAGGCCAGGATGCCAGGCCACTTGTTCACCACTGTAATCTGACACAGAATCATGTCTGATGAACGAATGTTCAGACACATGGGTGGTCCCTGGGCTTGAACTCATGCCCGGTTGGCTCCAAAATTATCTGGCTCCACAACATATCTTACCTGCTGGTTCTGTTGCATCCCCTCCGAAGCTGGGTGGGGTACCTGACATTTGGTGGGTGCACTGTGGCCGTCTGACCAAGTCTCCCTAGCAGCCAGGCAGGAACCTTTGCTCCCGGCCAGCAGGGGGCGCACACACATTGTTTTCTATGTGCATCCCCACAACCTCCCCCAGGAACTCCTACACAACCCTTCCTCCTCCTGATTGGTGTGTGAGATGAAAGGGACCCTACTTGACCAGGGTGTTTAATATCAGGAGGCTTCAAATTGTGCAGTCTTTCCCAGCAGGCAGCCCTCTGGGATGTGTGGGACCAAATATCTACGATGAGCTGGCTGAGGCCAGGCACCTTGCTAGGCAGTTGATGTTCATTATCTCCTTGAGTCATGCCAGGTTCTAGTACTAATGGCTTTCTAAGTGAAACTACTGTAGTGCTATTTTACCCATTTTTCAAATGAGAGTATTTTGGCCTGGACCTGTTTGGGAACTTGTCACCCTCACCCTGAGGCCTGCCTTTCTTCTCCCAGGAGGTGGGCCTGGCCAGCGTCCTGGCTGAGGCCTGGGCTTCCGGAGAGGGCTGGAATGGGAAGAACCTTTCTCAGAAGAGCGTCTCCTGCCCGATTCTGCCCCGGTGGCTGCCTCTTAGTGCCCCAGGATATGGGCGGGCAGCCTGAGCAGGCCTGCCAGCTTGCTACTGTGCCCAGGGGCTCCCAGGGGCACTTCCTCCACGTATCAGTTCTAGCCACCTGGCACATGCTGAGGAGTACCCAAGATGGTGAGTGGCAATGCTCAGCTCCCAGGGAGGAGGGACGGTCTCCCAGCACACAGTAGGACCAGCTGGTCCACCCTTTCTTCATTGTACACACAAGGAATCAGGCAGGAGAATGCAGGCCCCTTGCATGAGGTCACTTAGCTTCAATGGCAGAGCCAGGGCTGGAACCTGGCTCTCCAAAAGGACAGTCTTTCTTTGTGCCCCTAGCTGCACCTAGAATTCCCTCCTGCCCACACCCCCACTCCATACTCCCTGGAAAATCCTGCCCAGGCTGTCCCAGGGCCGCCAGCCCCTCCTCCCCAAGTCAGAGCCTCTTGATTGCTTAATTAGCCAGGGGCACTTGCATCCCATGTCTGTGAATTTGCCTCATACACCTTGGGTGAACCCTGAACCAAGTGCCCACCAGTGGGCAGGGCCATGGAGAGGGCCCTGGGCCCGGTGCTCAGACACCTGAACTTAAACTTAGCCGGGCCATGAACTTGCAGTGCGACTCAAGGAGGTCATTTCTCTGCGCTGGGCCTCAGTTTCTCCCCTGGGCTGGACCGGGGCTGAGCTCTGTCCATGAACACGGCTTCGAGGCAGACTGGACAGGACCCTGCCCCCGCCCCAATTCGAGGGCAGCAGTCACACTTTTTTTCTTTCTTCTTAAATACTTGGGTGTGGGGGCAATGGAAAGGCAGTCCAGAGGCAGAGGAAAGTTTAAAAATTAATTTTGAGGTCCCTTCTGCTCTGATCTTTACATCACTCTTGTCCTTCTCAGCTAAGAGGAATGTGGCACAAAGGGTTGCCAGTAAACAGTTGGTGGGCAGAACTGAGTGCGGTGGCTCAAAGCAGGGCACCACGGACCTTGGCCGGGCTGGGCAAGGGAGGGGCAGGTAGGAGAAGAGCCCTGGAGGATGGCATTAGGGCCTCGGCTGCTCTGACCTCCGCCTCCTCCAGGCTCCCTCCTGGGCTGCAGCGAAGTGAGCAGCCGCCCCTCCCTCCTCCTGCCACATCTTGCTGTGGATGCTACAATGTCCTTGCGAAACCCAGCCCCGGCCCCTGCTGCCAGGGCCGCCCACGAGGCTGGGAGGCTGAACTGGGCCCACACTGGCCAGGCTGAGCGACCCTGGAATGAGCTGCAGAGGGCTGTGGGACCGGTGTGGAGCGGAAATCTGTGGCCTAGTCAGCAGGCCAAGAGCCAGGCGGGCTGCTCGGCCCAGGGGCCCCCAAGACAGGCCTCCCAAGCTGCAGAGGGCTGCGGGCCTCTCCTGCGCCCTCGCCCAGGATGGGTTTGTGTGTGTTTGTCAGATCACAGCCCCAGCTTCACATTGCATGGGATGTTAACTCTGCTTCCAAATCCTGGCTCCTCCCGGAGCTACAAATCACACTGTAGCCTCCATACTGTAGCGGGCCTTCCATGCCCCAGGGTACTCAGAGACCACCCCGACTGCACAAGTGTGGCCACCCAAAATTAGAAAAGCCTGTGTGCGAAGTGCAGCTCTGGCCAGGGCAAGGAACAGCAGAGGTAGAAAGGAGGACCATTGTTCCAGCCCTAAGAAGATCCACAGGGACGCGCGCTAACATAGTGTTTGAAGTTCAGTGTGCCGTCATCTTCGCTCCCATTTGGATCGCATCAGCCTCTGAGCCACCAGCCTCTGAGCCCCGCTAAACTCCCTTTGTTGCCATCTGCTGCCCTGGGCTTTGGTCCCACACAGTCATCCCTGTAATCACCTTGAGACTTCACAGCAGGACTTTTTAGTCCCGAAAACGCCTTAGGTGCCAGACACTGTTCAGTACTTTATAAAATACATTTCATTTAATCATCACAACCCCATAAGGTTGATCTGTTCTGATGCTTTGGGCTGCAAGTTATTGAACTGTGTTGGGGTCCCTCACTGGACAATGAAGGGACTGATTATTTCAGGGAATAATCCAGAGTTGGGGAGACCCAGGGCAGGGCAATCCAGCTGCTGAACTGTAATACAAGGACTCAAGTTCTTTCCATATTTCCTTCCATCCTATTGCCTTTATTGGCTTAGTTGGTGCTGTCCTGACTAGTTACTTTCTTCATAGCAAAATGGCTGCTGTGGCTCCAGCCATCACTCCAGACACAACATCCAACTGTGGGACAATTGTTCCTTTTTTTTTTTGGTCTTTTTTGAGATACGGTCTAGCTATGCAGTTCAGGCTGGCCTTGAGCTCACTTTGTAGCCTAGGCTGGTGTTGAATTCTCAACAATCCTCCTGCCTCAGCCTCCCAAGCGCTGGGATTATAGGCGTGAGTCACCCTGCCCAGCCCCTTCATGTTCTAAAATCAAGGAAATATTACCTAGAATACCCCATGTCCTCCATCTAACTTATTAGCTAAAACTGTGTCTTGGATCTCTTCCAAAACAAATCAATAGGGCTGGGGATGTAGCTCAGCGGCATAAGCACTTGCCTGGCAAGCCTGAGGTCACAAGTTCAATTCCTGATACCAAAAAAAAAAAAAAAAAAAAAACCCTATAAGAAATCAATGGCAAGGGGAATGAGATACCAAGATTAGTTCAGACTAACTAGGTTGCCCCCTCAAGTATATGGAGGAGGGGTGAACTCCTGAAGAATATTCAGGGCACCAAGGAAGAAAACAGAAGTGATATTAGATGTGATCAGTATCTGCCAGATAAGTAATGAACATAATCCCCATTTTACAGTTGGGAAAACTAGTGCTGAGGGACCCTACATATCGGTGACTTTGGGCATGGAATGGTAAGCCCTAGCCTTGAACTTCAATGAATCCCCAGTGAGGGAGCTGGGGTATCTGTAGTCTGATACAACTCTCTGTGACATGCGAAGACTGCCATGGAAGCATACAGCCAAGAAATGCTGGAGATCAGTTTTACAGGAAGGTCAGAACATCTGGCTTTTGAAGGATGTATAGAAGTTTGCTCAAAGAAAAAGGGAGGGGGCATTCCTTACAGGCAGAGAAATAGTGCCCTGCAAAAGCGTGGGACTTGAAAGTTTACACCCTGTTCAAGGAACAGAGAGGAATTTAATGTGTCAAAAAGCAATTGGAGAGGTGGCTGGGGAGGTAGCACGCATGAGGCCCTGGGTTCAATCTCCAGTTCTGAGGGAAAAAAAAAAATTGAGAAGTCCTATACTGTCAGTTTGTCTTGGTCCTGTTAGGCACCTAGAATTTTTGTTGTTGTTGTTGTTGTTCATTTGTTTGTTTGAGACAGGATCTTGCCATGTAACGCAGGCTGGCCTTGAACTCACAGCAATCCTCATGCCTCAGCCTCCCGAGTGCTGGGATCATAGGTGTGCACCCCCATGCCATGCTGCCTGGAAGATTTTTTTAGCAGGAAAGTAAAGTGACTGCATTTGGATGATTTTGAAAACTGAGAGCACCCTGGTGAATCCAAATGTGCACAGTGGGCCACAGCGAAAGTGTGGCTCAGACAAAATGTGCAGGCTCAAGACACCAGAATGGCCGGGCGTAGCGGTGGGCCACGCCTGTAATCTCAGCACTTGGGAAGCTGAGGCAGGAGGATCGTTGCAAGTCTGAGATCAGCCTGGGCTACAAAGTGAGCTCAAGGCCAGCCTGACCTGCATAGGGAGACCCTGTCTCAAAAAGACCAAAAAAGAAAGAAAGAAAGAAAGAAAGAAAGAAAGAAAGAAAGAAAGAAAGAAAGAAAGGAGAAAAGGACACTAGCATGAGCTGTGGAGAAGGAATGAGGTGTACACAAGAAGAGTGGGACCTTCTAGGAGTTTGGGAAAGCCCACGAAGATGGTCAGCTCTATTAGCATATCCATGCTGAGCGAGCCTGACTCTGAGGTTGTTATGACAAGCTAGCACCACAGAGTGCTTACCAGGCACTCTGCTAAGTACCTTAAATATATTTGTTTCTTTTTGTGGTACTGGTGATTGAACTGGAGCCTCACATTAGGCCAAATGCTCTACCACTGAGCAACACCACCAACCCTTTAAAAAAATGTTTTTAAACTGCAAAACAGGGTCTCACAAAATTGCCCAGGCTGGCATCAAATTTGTAAT